ATGGAATATTCATCTTGACGTGCCCCCAACAGCTTGCCAATTCCAGGCTCCCACCACTAACAGGCATCCGATCTGTTCCAACTTTGCACGCGCCTGCTGTGAGCCAACGTCTGCGGCAGCATGTTGTCAAACTTGTCCAATGTCCTGAAGAGCGAACAATGCAAAGAGCCACTGGACGACTCAAATCCGAATGTCAACAAGTCGGGGAAGGCCTGAAGGCTTATCCCATGTTTGAGGTTTCCTGCGCGCAGAACTCCACCTCAGCAACATCATGAAAGGAACCAGCTCACGTCTGTCCGAATTCGGGACAATACCTAAGGCCGAACATAATCAAAAACAGCGTTTAGTCATCTACTTCAGGCAACCCCCATCCCAAGGTTGGGTTTTGCTCGGTACTTTGGCATAGAGGTGGAGGTCTTAACCTTTTGTACCGCTCAACGTTTCCGAACCCATGATGGCCAAATGCCCTTCACACTGCAGCAGTGGGATTTCGAAGCTGTCTTACTCGCCAGTATCATATGGGGCACGCAAAGTACTCTGGACACTTTTTGGTGGCCGTCCCACCCTCCCCCTCATGAAGCATGAAAATATGTTCAGCATGTGTTGATTAAGTTCAGTGAAAAAACATTATGCAGGTTGTCTCTACAGAAGAATGGTCACGTCGCAACATCACCCGCATCACTTACAGGAACAAGCCGCCACCCTACATGTTGGGCCTGTGTTTTGTGGCCGTCCCTCGAGCCCAAGTTTTGTGAATCATGAACTTCCTTCTGTATGGATCCGTTAAGATAGGGTTTTTGAAGCCCTCGGCCTCTTGAAAATCTTGCGCCAACATTCTCCAGACAAACATTCAGCCTTACAAGGGCACCTGAGCATTGTTCATTATTCAAGCTTACGCTTTGAACCCCTCCTCTATGGCAAACGCCATGATGTGCGTGAGAAGGGGGTTGTTTTTTTTTGCGGACGCTTGGAGCTTAGGAACTGCAGGGACACTTGGTTGTTGGGCACTGCAGGCACAGTTGGAAGTAAGTACACTGGAATTGGGCTCTGCAGGCATCGCTGGGGGGTTTTCGCGCTGCAGGGACAGTGGGGCACTGTATGCAGGAGCAGTTTTGGGCAGCGCAGGGAGCCCGCAGGGTGGGGTTGGGCACCCCAGACACATTGGGCAGTGTAGGGACATTTTGCAGTTTGCACTGCAGGGCGAGCAAGGAGAACATTGATATCATACAGCTGACCAACCCCACTGAGGTTGGATAAAAAAGACCTTGCAGGCAGACTCCACACCCTCCAAATGCTGATCACAAATATCATGACAGCAGCCAAGCAAGCAAGTGCACGTCATGTCGCGTTAGAGACCTCCAAGCTAGCCACAGAGCAGGCAACGCAAGCTCTGGTGACCTCTGCTAGCACCTGCAGACACCATGATTTCGAGGTGAAGCAAGTCTTCAACAACTTTCCATGCGGCTTGTGGCACCGGCTGATGACATGACTTCGTCGTAGCTGGTGTTCGACCACTGTTGGCCTCAGCGCCACTGTCATGCCAGGCACTGATGAGTGGGGCCCGTACGACGTGCGCTTCTGAGACATATGCTAGACCCTGCGCCTGAAGACTGCCGCCGGCAATGCCGAGAACCTGGGCATAAGAACAGACTGCCACCGGACCCGAGGGTCCGATTGAGAAGACCACATGTGCCCATGCAAATTTGATGGCAAGGTACGGGGGGTGTCAGGGAGCCTCTGGCTTTTCTGGGTACCCCGGTATGTCGCCCTTTGATTTAGGATGATGCTTTTTCAGCGCGGCCCATCGCTTTACAATGTAAGGATCATATCCAATAGATTCCAATAGGGCCAAGTTGGAAGGTGTAGCTTTCCGGGGTGCCCCATCGTGTTAAAGAGTACTGAGCTTCCATGACCCATACTTACACAATTTCTAACATGCAGAAGTGGAATGTCTTTCACGCAGGATCCACAGATCATCCTGAACCTGTCACATGGTAATTGTGTATTGGATGGTGGGCTGGCAAGCCTTGCATCGTACATTGTGCATGCTGGTGCACTCTGAACAGATGCAAGTCGCGACTGAGAGGCCTTCCGCCGAGCAAAGCGGCAAAATCAGATGAAACTTTAAGCTGGTCACGCAGCATGAATCACTATTCACTATTCCTGCTGCGCAACTGGGAGCAAACAGGCATAAGCCGGGACTAAGGAAGGAACCGCCTTGTGAAAGAGGATTGGAAGCATGTGCTCAGCTTCCTCAGCTCAAGTGACTCTGCTTCAGACATGGTTCAGGCATGGTCATGCGCAAGTCCCCTGATTTTGCGAGCAGAGACTTCTAAAGCTCCGCGGAAGTTGGAGGAAAGCTACAGGTATCTTGTCCCTGCCGCCAAAGAAATAGGGAGCCAAACGCAACCACAAGGACGCGCGGAAGTACACATGTGTGAGCTACTTGGCTGTTATCCTGGTTTTGGCCACTCCGCTTTTCAGGAAGCATTGCAAATGAAGCTACGCTGCAGCGACCATCCCCCTTGTGATTAGGCCAAGCATCAATGCTGTTCTCACCCTCACTGATCAAGTCAGTCGTATGCTCGAACTGAGGCTCCCACAGCTGCGCAGCCGAGCTTGGCAATGCGATGAAGTGCCGCAGCCTGGCTTCAAAAATTGCCGAATACCAGGGGAAACAAGGGCTTCAGAAAAGGCAGCACGGCACGGAGGGTCCATCCCTGCCCTGCGGTGCTGTCATCTAGTAAGGACACTTCGTATGACACCCCATACTTGAACGCATGCTGAGGCTGCGTGACTGCACGCAAGCTTGCCTTCACTTATACATCAGTTCAAGGCATAACTACACTCAACACCACATGCTGCGTCCCGGACCACATTGATGAAGTCAAAGGCCGGCCTCATGGCAAGAGCATGGCGGCTTCCAGCTCCATGTATCGGGAAGGAAGACCAGCTGCACTCGATCGTGTGGAGGCTTAATGCAGCATACTCCAGCAGCTCATGAGCCTGCTTGCAATGCACCAAATCGGATCACAAATAACTTCAACCGTGTGAGCATAACCCTCCTCGCCATGTTTCTGCCACTGACAGCAAATTTGAAAAATCCTGCAATATTTGGCGCTCAACTTGCTGCCCTACAGTTTTCAATCGGGTACCGGACAGCTCACATTGCATTTCCTGCAGGTGGCTATACTGAGCCCTGTCCGGGGGATCCACGTGTGTATGATACTCCCGGAAGATGCTGCTAAAATGAGAAAACGAAAAGAGGCGAATTGCACGGACTCCTTGAAGTGCTGTAACTAAGGACCCGGCAAGTGGGTGCTGCAGATTGTCAAAAGCTCATCCGAGTTGCACCGCGCAATCTGCAGACAGAGCACTGCCAGGCCAGAGCCGCGTTCACTCTCAGCCACTCCACTACCACTCCTGTTTGTTGATGAACTTCGGTGAGACCGCCGCCTGCACATGCAGCTCCAGCAAATCTATATTGAGGACTTTGCTGCAGGATGCTGCAGGTAGCGTGTTTCCACGCAGCACTCAGAGATGATGAGGTGAGGTCCCCATCTCCACCAAAGTTGTTGTCATCTCCGGTATGGTTCCGGCGCCAGAACAACACCCGGCAAGTTAAGTGCGCGTCTCAATTAGCACAGCCGAGTGCGCATGAATCGCAACAAGGAGTTGGTTTTTGGACTAGCGTGGTCAATGATGGTCCATATGGGTACCCATACCTGCTCACGCTAGATGCTAGATGGTGGTTCCCACCGCGGCGCTTGCCAGCACCGTAGGCCGTAGGCTCAATCGTTCCAGCTGAGCACCAATAAGATCTGTGATTGTCCATATGTGTGATACT